ATGCATGGCGTTAGCTGCATTATGGTCCCTGGCAGAGTCTGACTGGGCCTTTCCTTGACATTCTTCAAATGATATATGTATTTTATATTTTACGAGCATTTTGTGTGCTAGACCAAGCAGTCACTTGGTTTAAACATCTCAGCTTGCTGCAACCACCTATCTAATCCAAGTGGGTTAACTCATTCTCTAATACTCATATTCCAGTGGCATGATGCAGTACAAAGTGATGGTGTTTGAAGATGTCTTTTAGACAAGACATTAAAAATAGAGCTCTGCAAGAATATGAATGATAAAGATCCTGACCCGTTCTGAGTTAGTTTTCAGAGTCCTGCTCTAAACTTTTGCGTGCCTTTTCCTGATGTTCGAGGCTCATATTACATGTAGATGCTGCACCCCAGGAGTGCCTGCATTTCAGCTCTGTAAGTGCAATTTATCAGTAGCCTGAAGCATAGGCTCCAACTTTTATTTTTGGTTGGGGGAGGGGGATTAAGATAATAGACACGTGAAGAGTTTTACACATTTCAGGTGACAGCCCTCTTCTAGAGGGGAGCCCATGTACTCAGCACTTCTGACCTGAAGGTAAAAGGAACTAACTGTATATTAGTTTAAAGGAAGTCTGTGGGAATATTACATATCTCACCACGAGTTAAGCTACAGGGCTGGTCAGCAAAGCAGGCTGCTAAGAAGCTATGAACTGATACAGTCTATCCCCTAGAGCACTCAGGTTTGGTTGGAGCACAGCCATCCCATGGAGATTAGCAACTCTATAGGAGTTTAGCATTAACTCTACAGAAGTTATTAGATGCCTTTGGGATGTCTACTGAAGTGAACCTTTAGACAGCACAACCCTCCGGGAACATGACTAATCAACTGGGGGTTGGACAATCAAGGTCATAAAGTAAGAAAAGATTAGATCCTGGACATGTGAAGCTGTAGCTAAGCTTTGGGTACTGTCTTTTGTAAAATAAATGTCAGCCTCTGTCATACCTAGGTGACCTATGCTGGTGTAGCTTCACCAATATACTACTTGTAGCATGAATACAGCTTTTACAGGCAAAGATGAGTTAAAGTATTCTACCTCTTCTCTCAGCTTACCACACTATGGTTAAAGTTCAGTTTACCTAATACAAATGGACCTATAGCAGGGGGCTAGGCTCATTCATGGCTACTTTGGGTATCTGCATACAGCACTGCAGTGTGCCATGTAGACATACACAGTGTACCATAACTGAAAGAACAGCTTCTTGCCAGTTGAGGTTACTTTGGTTTTTTGGTACATTGTGATAATTTGTTCATTCAAAAGTCATGCCAAATAAGTTTCCTAGTTATATACATTCTTGGCCAGTTGCAGAACACTGTAGAATTGGATCTTGCTGAAGTATGCTACATTTGAATCTTTATAAAGCTTGCTTCACTTGAGAAAGTTTACAACTACCTTGAGTCTCTGCACAAGTTATTTTTTCCATTGTAGAGCCTGGCTTTCTCTTAAAGCATGTTATTTCAAACACCCATTTTAGTGTATTTTAGCTGTATATAAGCGCATATAGCACTCCAGGGAATAAACACTTGAGGCACCAATACACTAGCATGGAGGCTGCTTTGATGCATTGGAATTCCAGCATGTTGGAGCAGATTCAGTTAATCAAGTCTGCTGGAGTGTGGCAATTGCCACACTCCAGCAGCTTCCTGTGTCTTATGTATCAGCATCCCCATGTTCAAAAATGGTAGTGGGGGCGCTTGAACTAAAGCTCATCAAATAAGCTTTAGTCTAAGCACCCTCACTGCCATTTTGAAGCATGCGGATGCTTGCTGATACAGAAGATGTGGCAGCACTTGAATTAGAACAGCTCTCGAAGTATGTCTAATTAAAGTGCTGTGTTGTCCATCCCCCCTACCCCCCCGAGCAAGTGTAAAAGTGCCCTTAGAGACTGCTCACCAACACCCACATTCCAGCAGGCTGGACTTTTAAGCTAGAGACAGACATTTAAAAAGCTTAAGCCTGAGTTGATTCAATCTTTGCAGGTTAGTCTAACCTGGCTAGGCTAAATCAATTTGTAACTGCACAGACCTCCCCTCTGGACTGAAAAAATGCCAGCACATGCCTGCAATGGCTCACACTAGAAGCCAGGGGCACTAGAGCAGCCCTCCTTTTCCTTCCACGGGGCTGAGCTGAGGGGGGCATGGCCAGGGCCTGGCAGGCCACTGTGATGAGGGAAGGGTTCTCCCCTCCTTGATAACTGAGCATTTATCAGCTGTCTTATCAGCATTTAGCCCCCCATCAGAAAAAAAAGCCTCATTCTTTAGTTCAAGCTCTTCTTAAACACCTTTTTTTCCAAAGGAAGGAATGCAAGCACATTACCAGCTGAGCTGTTGATTAGCTCTAAAAAGCCCTAAGAGGACACTGTCCTACCTGCCTTACACAGCATTAGCTAGCATACCACATGCTGGCTATGGTCCGTGATCTGGGAGAGAGGAGGAAGGGATCTCTGCTTAAGCAGCAAGTGGTGAGAGGTGTGGGACATGGGGCACAGGGAAGCCAACAGACCCCGCTGTGCCTGCAAGGCTCTGATGGAGCTGTAGCCAGGGAGCAGAGGGGAGGGGCCAGCCCTGCTGTGGAGCAGAGAGCCTTGTCCAGCCCAGAGAGCATGCTGGGATGCTGGAGGAATCTGACTTAACTGAAACCAGCAAGTGGTCTGGGACAGACATTGCATAAACCAGTTTGACCCAAGTCAGTTACGTCTGATACTACATTCAACCACGTTTATCACAAACCAGTTTCAGCCATTTTCAAACTGGTTTATGTGCACTGAACATCTGTTCTGTTACAGGTTTAAACCAGTTTCTGAGCACTTAAACCAGTCTATGTGCAATGCAATGTCTGTCCCTAGCCTTGCTTACTGAAACAAGCATGCCAAAATTCTTTAAAGCCCTTTATTCCTGCATACTAATAATGAATTAGCAAATTCAGTTGTAGTACAATTTGCTTGTAGATTCTAGAATTTTCCATTGATCTGGTTTTCATGCTATTGAAGACTGATTAATTCTAAAAGTCCCTAACCCAAGCACTTAAGTTCACTGACTTCAGTAGGGCTACTTGTGTGAATAAAGATAAGCTTAGCCTTAATTAGATTAGCAGAGTTGCATATGGACCTTTAAAATATACCCATACAATATCATGTTAAGCAGGAAATTGCAAGCCATTTTGCTCACACTTCCAAGCACGTTAGATACTTACAGAAAACAGGCTGCTTTTAAAGTTACCTTTTCATTACATGCCATTCATGAGGGTAAGTGGCCACTTCTTTATCCTGCACTTCTTCATTCTTCTTGTCACTAAGAGCTATTTGAAAGAGTGTGAATAGTTGTTCAAATTAAAATGTGGACTTGTTTGTCTACACTCTCACTAACTGAAACTGGCTTTAAGTCAACTACAGTAATATACTCATTCAAGGTTCCTTGCAAAAGTGCGGTTGGACTGGAAAGTTGCCTTGTCCTGCATTACTCTGCATTTTTCAGCTGAGCTTTTCTACTGACTGCTGTCAAGCATTTCAAAACACACTGCAGGTAGTGCGGGGCTTCCCAGTAACCTCATGAAGAACTGAAAAAGTGAGGCCCAGAAGGTTAAGTAACTTGGCCAAACTCAGAAAGTAGGTTTGTGGCAGAGCTAGGAATTCAGATTCAGGTGCCAAAGCCAAAACTTCTGCATAATCACATAACCTTCCTGTGACCTTACTGGCTTCTTAACAGAGTGAACTTTCAAAACTTTCTTTCATCAGGAAGCATTTATCTACACATCATCTTGAAATAAATCAATAAGTAAATATATTACTGATGAGGCATATCATTCTAAAAGCATGGGGGAAGATTTCTAGCAGGTACTAGGGTAACGAAAATATTGAAAGAGAATAAAATTAAAAGCTTCTGTGTAAGTGCCAAAGTGAAAGTATAGCTAAGTCTCTAAAGCAAGCAGTCACACAGTCTAAGGGTTATCCACATCAGGCAAAGGCATTTAAGTGATCGCAATACTATTCTTCCTTCTCTGTGTAAATAAATATAAGCTGCCACTTAGGGTTGGAGGGTTTTTTTGGGGGGGGGTGTTAAAAGTAGTACCTGATTTTAGTGAACCCTTTGTTATTTATAGCAGTATAAACAGAACTCTTACAATGTAGCTAAAGTGGGAGCTTTGTTGAAAATTAGTTCTTGCCCCCTTGGAAATGTTGTTGGGAAAGTTCTGCAAACCTATGCCCCAACCCCAAAAGAGGACCCTAACTGGGTAGGTCCCTGTTTCCAGCTGATCACCTGTAGAATCAGGTATAGAAAAGTTAGGAAAGAAGACTCAGCGGATATTTCCAACCACTGTTGACTCTGGATAGTTATAAGGAAAGGTCTGAGGACTGATCTTTACATTTTTCTCACAGTGGTTGTCCATACTTAAGTGAGCAATTCCATCTAAATCAATGAACCAACTCATGAAAGCAGGTATTTGCAGAATTGAGTTATAGTTTTCTGAGTGCTTAGAGGAATGTGCATATTACCCTGCTGTTAAAATTGCACCAGGGGAAAAAAGGTATGGCCTTTTTTTGCTACACCTACAGTTTGACTGAATAGTGTGAATGCCTTTTCTATCTCAAAATGCGGCTAACAGCAGTACATAATTGCTTTACTTCAGAATAGAAATTACTGAAGGCTGGCCTTGTATTCTAAAAGGGTATGAAGAGATGGATCCTTGGTTACGAGCTTTAACTTCAAGGCACCTTAAGCTTTCTTTGTGTGCATCATATTAGTGGAAAATTCCTCCATTCATTTAAAAAGATAAACAGTTGTAACTCACAAATTGGGTTGATGTGACTTCAATCGCTGGCCTGAGCTGCCAGCATTCCAAAAAGGATATCATGCTGATCTCCAGCCAGTCAGAGCCGACTGGGCGGAGCGTGGAACACAAACCTAAACATTTACAGGTGCATAAGTACTTGGGGAAGGGCACAGATGATGCACCTGTCTCAGGGAAGGACTAACACAGGTGTGTTGCAACTTGGTAGACGGCTAGGGCTAGATTATGAGCTCATTTGATCCGCAGACACACTCTCCTCCACGGTGCAGCCCACAATTTCCAAATATTGGCCAGGAACCTCCCGAGATGAACTTCTACTATGAGAACTTCTTCCATCCACAGAATATTCCTAGCCCACAACGACCTACAAACTTTGAGGCTGCGGACTACAATACCACTCCCAACCCATACCTCTGGCTAAACGGACCCTCCATTACACCGCCACCATACCTCCCAGGATCCAATGGCAATCCCTTCATCCCTCAGTCCTATGGGATGCAAAGGCAGCTCTTGCCAAACATGCATGGTTTGGGGGGGACTGACTTGGGCTGGCTTCCTCTCCCTTCCCAAGAGGAGCTGATGAAGTTGGTCAGACCACCCTACTCCTACTCTGCTCTTATTGCCATGGCCATTCACGGAGCTCCTGAAAAAAGACTGACACTCAGCCAGATCTACCAGTATGTGGCCGACAACTTCCCCTTCTATAATAAAAGCAAAGCAGGCTGGCAGAACTCCATACGGCACAACTTATCTCTCAATGATTGCTTCAAGAAGGTGCCCAGAGATGAAGATGACCCAGGTACTTATTTTTTTAATGCTTTCTCCTCTTTCCCCAATTTGCCCCCATATTTTAGAGAGCGAGACAATGAGCCAGATTCTGTCTCACTTACCTCAGAGTAGATCTGAACTAACTCCCACCTATTTTCATGGAGTTTCTCCCTTTGTGGTTGACATCTGAATCTGGCCCATTATGTTTCTAATGAAGCATGCCCTGAAGGGAAGGCAACTCTTGGCTGTTCTAGGTTTTCCTGAGTGGTGATCAGTATGCTGTGCACACACAGTTTAACAAGTGCAGAGCAGTCTAGCTGAGCAAGAGATATTCAAAAGCCATTTGGCATAATGCATGGTACTACAGCTAACTTAATCCATAATTAATAGAAATGAGATGAGACCGATACATACGTCAGTGGAAATTTTTTGGCTTTATGGAGTCACCAATAATTGTCAAGAGCAGAGCAGGTGGGTTGCTTGCTTGTTCTAAATAGTCAACTTTTAGTTTAGAAAGAGAATCTGAGCTGCATTGTTACCAGTCCCTTTGCTATTTTTTTTTTGTTGCAGCTGTAGCAGTAATCACTTGGGAGACGTTTAAAACTGGCCAAACTGTGAGCCAGATTCTGTTCTATCTTGTTTGTAATCCACACTATCACACTGAAGCCAAAAGGGAATGGGCCTCAGGGCAGAATTTGATTCCTTTGTGCCATAAATTCAAATGACCAACAGTGTTTTTGAAGCTGTTACTCAAGCCAAACTTTCACTGATTTCACTGCAGTGAGCAAGGAAGAGAAAAATCATCCCCAAACCTTTAGACTTTGCTGGGCTTAAGTGAGAAGGATCTTTTTCTTTTTTCTTTTTTGTGCAGTGTGCCGATCAAATGTTAGATTTCTGTGAAACAGACTGAACTTGAGATAAAGCCATAGGAATGTGCTCTGTACTATACAAATACAGGTCTTAATATTTAAAAGCAATTGTCTCTCTTAATAGGAAAAGGGAATTACTGGACTCTGGACCCAAACTGTGAGAAGATGTTTGACAATGGAAATTTTCGTAGGAAGAGGAAAAGGAAGTCTGACATTGGATCCAGCACAGCATCTCTCACACTTGAGAAATCTGAAGACAGTGCCTTGAGTAGCAGCCCAAAGGCTACAGAGCACCAAGATGTCTTGGAAAGCTCCTCACCTGGAAATGACAGTTCACCTGAGAAACGGTCTCCTCCTCCGTCATCTAGCAGCCCCTGTCTCAACAGCTTCCTCTCCAGTATGACAGCGTATGTTAATGGCTCTAGCTCAGTGAGCCGATCTGTGCCCCTGGGACTAAGCACTGAGCCCGCTGACAAAATGGGACAGAACATGGTAGGCTTTAATTCATACTCTCCACTTTCTAATATCCCAAGCCATAGTCTGGGAGAGTGGTCCAATTCAGTGCCTTCCGGCCACCTTGGCTACAGCAATTCAGTGCTCAATCAATTCAACACACATTTCTACAACAGTATTGGTACAAATACTACTTTGTATCCTAGAGAGGGAACTGAAGTTTAAATAAAAAAGAACTGCACAAAACAGAAGGGAAGGATGGATATTTGAGAGGAAAGCTTCTGGGGTAGATGGCTAATGTTAGTGTGTTGTCTCTGGGACCTGCAGTATAACCTGCTTCAGGGGCAGATCTTAAGTTCCTGAAGTGTCTTGAAGCCCCAAACTTGCTACACAGAAGACTGACTCAACTCAGAAAACAGCCATGTATTGGACAATATATTTGTGAAAGGCCAGGGCCTATAAAACAAAAATATTGCAAGGGAGTTGTGGGGCATGACTCACACAGCTGCTGCTTGCACCACTCAGAGGTTGTCCTTAAGTAAAGGCCCATACTTAGCTCTGGTCTAAATCAGAATTTTTTGTTAGCACAGTAATTTTGCTATGGTATTTTTATAGAAGAAAAACCTTAACACAAATGCAGCTCAGTTAGCTGTGTCTACAGTAAGAAAGGTTGATAAGACCTATTTAATCAAAGTGTTACCTCAGTATTTGCCAATACTGTACTTAGTTACTGTGGTAACATCAGCAGTTTAATGGCAAGCACCATTCCTGGATTCATTCTAAATGTACTAAAGGTACCAGCCAAATTCTGACCTTGTGTAGTACCCAAAGGGGTGCGAGGCAGAAAGTGGCATTTATGGTGCTGAATATAAAAGTCTTCATGCAAAAATTGAATGGGAAAATAACTGAAATTAAGGATTTTTTTTTGTAGGAAAATCAAATGTACTGTTTTCAATTCAAAATACAGGGTCATCCTGCTGCCTGCACATATACAAACTAATGTCACTGAGCCAACTCACATAAGGAAAATAGGACCATATTCTGTGTATTTTACATACATGCTTTTCTGACAGTAAAATGTTTGTTTCAGAGTAGCACAATTGTTTGCACTAAACAAAACAGTATCACCATCTATACCTTTATCTAAAATATCACTGAACTTCACCTCAAAGGCTATATCTCCCCAGGCATCAATTGCAGTCACTGGGAGGGACGGGGACTACTTTCTTGGGGGTTTTTTAAAGTCAATTAAACAACTGTTATGTTTAAATGTAAGTACCATTGAAAGATGCCTGTTGTTTCTCCTGATCTTGTAAATATTTGTCTACTGTAGTCACAAGAGTTTAAATAAAGATTTTGCACCGAAAAGACTCAATTAAGTTCCATATTTGCATAGTGTAACATCCAAAACTGAACAGTCTGTGACACAGTCTATTTACAACTGTGCTCTGGCAAGTGCTTCAGGGTGGCTGGGGGCAGATTATTGTATTGTGACAAATACCACTGTGTCTTGAATTTTTTAAAAAGTATTTTGGTTACAGTTTTGTTACAGGCCATTCAAGGCAGTGTTTTTTAATAATAAAGCATTTGTGTTTAAAAGCATGCGTGTGCATGTTATAATTTCAACTGATGGACTACTAAAAAAAAAATACATTTGACTGTTGGCCGTGGCACTTAAAATTGTGCTTTATGCTGTTTTAATTTGCTTGGTTTACCTGGAGGAAAGTAGACCTTATCCAAAGAACATCAAATGTTTAAGTAGTTTTATGTCTAAACAACTGAAATTTGCATGCCTAAGAGAATAGACAAATATTATGCCAAGAATTATTACCAAATGAGAGTTACTCTTTTAGCTTCTGTATTGGAGCTAAACAGTGCTAGTGATTTGAAACTCTGGAAATCTCACTCGCTTTTGCCAGGCCCTAAATTGTCCACAGTGTGGTCCAAATTACATTTTTATTACATGCTTTGTAATCATCTATTTTGCCCTGTAGAACTTCATCACATTTTTATAATAGTTTTAGCTGGCTTTAGCTCACCAGGTGAACATTCATATGGAATGAGCCACAGCTAAATGCCGCATTAGCACATTTAAACCCAATGCAAATTATGTGCCCTGAAACACAACTGCAGGCAGCATTTCCCAAAGGTACAGCTATTCTCCCTCCTGTAGTTTTCTGGAAAGTCTTTCAATGCCTGAAAAATGTATTCATGTCAACCCTGCACATTCATGAGTTCAGAAAAGATAGTGCTTAATAGAGTCACCTAAATTGCAGCCCATATTCAGGTTTTAACTGACATAAGAAGAAATCAACTCCTGTAGCATACCCAAAGGGAAATGCAGATGTGTTAATATTGAGTCTTAAACAGTGAATATGTGAAGATGTTACAAATCATATAGAGGTGAGTGATGATTTTAAGCAGAAATGACAAGGAAGTTTTAAATAACTATCACTAATTCATTTTTATTAGTCAACACTTTGTCCAAAAAAAAAATTCAACAAGGGCATATTGAGCCATTGGCTTCTACCCATTCAATTCTGTCCAAAGCTGGCATTAACATGTATTTATTCCTAGCTGTTTGGCCTGTGATGTGCTAGCTATCTCTGTATTCCTGTTCTTTATGAAGAGGCATCTATCACAAGCAGCATCCTCACTGTTGGTAGTAACTGAAGTTGGTACGTTAAAGTCTGTCTAATACTCCTCCTGTTTGAAGAAATATCAGTTCAGATGTTGTGGTATGCTGAACAGATAGAAACAAGAGCATACAGGGGAAGCTTCTATTACTCCTGCTCAAAATGTATCTGTCCTTTGAATAAACAAAACAAAGTGCACTTCATTCTCAATTGCTGTTTGTTCTTTTCAGTTAAGAGGATCATTGAAATGACATTCCTGACTTGCCATCTGGGAAAATGCTTACTAACTTATTGCATCCTACCTCAACATTTGCTCTGAAATATAGTAGAGTTTGTTAATACATCACATCTTCCACTGGTAAGTTTACAATTAATGTGTTTCAGTGTGCTCCTAAAAATACATTACCTGCCAAGATAAAAGCTTCTCTTTTAAGTGGTACTATAAAAACTGTACAAATCATTCCAAACACATAGCTACTTCAATTACTCCTGGTCCCTTTCACTCACTACTGTCATCTCTTAAGATGTCACCCCTATTTGCTACTCTAAGGGCATGTGTAGACGAAACAGGGGCCCTAAATCAAAGCAGTCGGTTTTTAAAAACATTGCTTCAATTTAGGGCCCTTTAAACCTCAGTGTCATGCACACACCCGAACTTACTTGCCTCTTTGGCAGCGGGAGGGGAGGGTGAGCTTCCGGCAGGTGGAGTGGTCTCTGAGCTGTTGGGAGTGGGGGAGGGGGAGAACTGATGCGTCCTTCCATGGCAGCAGTGGGCCCCCCCACCCCAGGTGGCACCCACCCATAGGCAACCGGTTTGGGCAGTCTCGGGGGCACCACAGCCATGGAGGGAAGCACCGGACCTCCATGCAGCTCAGGCAGGCAGGTAGGCAGTCTCCAGGGTGGAGTCTGCCTTCCTGTGCTGCTGCCAGGCTGCTTGCAGGGCTTCCTGCAGAGCCCCTGAGCTGCATGGAGCCCAGTGCTTCACGCCGCAGCTGTAGGGCAGCAAATGAAAACTCTTCAGAGGAGTTTTAATTTGCTGCGCCCCAAGTCATTTAAGGCACATTATGCCACCGAATTTACTACGGTGGCTGGAATTACTGCTCAATACACCACCTATGTGTGCAAACACTGACACCATTAAAGTGGTGCAAAAGCATTTAACCTGCTTTAAAGTGTCATGCGCATATGCCCCTCGTTTTGCCTACATCCAGCCTAACAGACCCAGTGATTAGCAAAGACCTTAGGAGTAGGTTTTCAGTAGTTTCAGTTTCTCTGGTTTGTTCTTGTTTATTTGCTATATTTGATCCTCCTTCCAGGATGTTTTTCACTTTGAAAGCGACTCTACACACATGATATTTCAGGCATTCTATTTTATTGCCTCTCAATATTTTCTTCCAAATTTACATGAAAAAGTAGGATTTTGGTACAAATACCGCTGGCAGACATGTTAGATACCTTTCTGCTCCCACCTCAGCAACAGTAATACATCTTTTGCAAGCTGAAAAGGACTATCAATTACACTTCAGCAACCCCATGAGCTTCAAATTAAGCCTTTCGAAACCTGAACAAACTATTTGACTTCCATAACTAATTGGAACGTAAACAGATCTATTGAGTCAGGAGAAGGAAGAGAATTGTGCTGTCTGTGCAATGCTAACAAGAGTTAAACATAGCAAAAATGTACTTTTCCACTGGTTGTAGCAGGATATTTGCTGAATAAGCTCTGAGCAGTTTTTCTTGTTTAGAGTGTAACTGCTGTTAGGCTTTTTTGCAGCAACTCTAATATTTGTATTAATCTCAGTCTTCTAGCATCAATATTTCTTCCTCCACTTTCAGATGTCCCTGATGCATTTCCAACATAAGTGCATACTAAGCTTATCCTTTTTGGGTTGGGTGCCCCAAAACGAAGACTAGCCACCTCCACAATATTAACAGTTTGAGGGGTTCCAAGAGTCTATCACATGGAATCAAGGATCCCCCCCCTTCCCCCCCCCAT